CTCCGGGCGACCAAGCCGGGCTTGAAGTCGCTCGCCCGCGGGATGAACCCGCCGGCGGTACTGAAGAAGAACACCCGTCCACGGCTGGGCCTGGACGAGGTCAAGAACCAAGCGGAGCCGGGCTCCGCAAAACAAGAAGACGGCGCATGCGAAGGTCGCTGCGCAAGTCTCGGCCCGGGGCCGAGACGCTACAAGAAATGTCTGCCGGGCAGACGGAGGCTGAGAAGCCGGACGTCGAGACGCTGAACGTCTTGACGCGTACCTGTACCGGGTTCCGGTACAGGGAGATAACTCTCGCTAACCCTCCGACGCAAGCGTCGGAGTTGACATCGCTCCCAGTCATGAGCTGGAAGCGCTTCACGCGTGATTTGCACGATGGACGCATCGAGCAAATATGCATTCTCTCAGACGCCGAGAGAACGAAGAGCGAGAATGAAGAACTGAGGCAGTTCTTCATGGAGACCACCACCGAGAGTGAGGACACTCTCAGTGCGAAGACGAAGAAGGAACGCTTTGAAGAGCTGAGCTGGGACTCGTTGAAGACGAGTCCCTACTACGAGATCTTACGGGAGTACGCGGACGTACTTCCTGAAGAGATCCCTGCGGAGCTTCCGCAGGACAAGGGCATCCAGCACGAGATTGATCTCGTGCCGGGGACGAAGTACTGTGTCACGCGGCAGTGGCCACTGCCGCGAGAGCAGGTCCAGGCGATCGACGACTTCTTTGAGAGTCGTCGCAAAGCTGGACAAGTGCGGGAATCGAAGTCCCCGCACAGTGCTCCGACGTTCTGTGTCAAGAAGCCACAGGGCGGCTGGCGCATCGTTCATGCGTACACCAAGCTGAACGATGCGACGATACCGGCGCAGACACCGATACCACGAAAAGATGTCATCATCGATTCGATGGCCAGGAGCACTATCTACAGTGCTCTTGATCTGCGCGATGGGTTCTATCAGATCCTCATGCGTGAGAGCGATATCCCTCTCAAGGCTGTGAGCACGCCGAGCGGCATGCTCTGGGAGTGGCTAGTGATGCCGCAGGGTCTGAAGAACGCCCTTACGACCTTCAACAGGTGCGTGACGCACTTGTTGCGCTCGGTGCGCGACTTCGCACCGAGCTACTTCGACGATGTGTTCGTCCACAGCCGGGCTGCGGACGGGATGAGCGATGTTGAGATGCACAAGGTGCATCTCCGGAAGCTGCTTGCGCTCATGCGCAAGCACAAGCTCTATGCGAACCTGAAGAAGTGTATCTTCGGGGCGAGCGAGATACCCGTGCTCGGGTGTCTCGTCGGGAAGAACGGTGTCCGCCCTGACCCTGAGAAGGTCAGAGTGATCAATGAGTGGCCGACGCCGTCGGACGTCAAGGAACTGCGACAGCTCCTTGGCTTGGCCACGTACTTGTGCAAGTACGTGAAGGACTACGCGGGCATGATACGCCCGCTGTCACAGCTCCTGAAGAAGGACGCCGAGTGGGTTTGGGCTGCTGAGTGTCAGCAGGCCTTCGATGCAGTCAAGCGGGGCTTGACTGAGGCGCCGATCTTGGCGGTGGCCGACCAAGATCGCCCATTCCACGTTGTGTGTGACGCATCCGACTTCGCAATCGGATATGCGTTGATGCAGCACGATCACGAGGGCCGTGATCGTGTCGTCTACTACCAATCGCGTCAGCCGAAGCCAGCTGAGCGCAACTACCCGGTACATGACAAGGAGCTCCTTGCCATGAAGTACGCACTCGCGAAGTTCCGAGTGTATCTACTCGGAAGCAAACCGTTCGTGGTCTATACGGACCACGCGTCGCTGCGGACGGCTGTGAAGTCGCCGCACATCTCGCACGGATGGCGAGATGGCTCTCATTCTTCGCAGAGTATAACTTCCGGGTTGAGTATAAACCCGGAAGACTCAATGTGGTGGCCGACGCGCTCTCGCGTCGACCTGACTACGCCACGACTGATGACGACGTCAATGCCATTGACGCCATGCGATCGATCACCCCAACGTCGTCACTGTTGGACGACGTGAAGGCCGCGTACGCGCACGACGCTGACGCGAAGCTCTTGCTGGCCTATGGCTCAGCACCTTCTGACAAAGCTCGTCAGAAGCTGCCGAAGCATCTTCGTGCTCGTGCACACCGTTATCGGGTGCACGATGGGTTATTACTCTACCGTGCAGTCGACGACAACGCGGACCGCGTTGTCGTGCCCAATGACCATGACCTGCGGCTCAGGATCATGTATGAGTATCACGATGCACCGACTGAGGGGGATCCGGGCCGTGAGAAGACATATCTTCTTCTCACGCGGGACTTCTACTGGGCCCACCAGTATAAATGGGTGCGCAAGTACGTCCGTGCTTGCGAGGTTTGTCAACGTGTGAAGCCTGCGCCTTTCGCGCGGGCTCCCTTGCAGTCACTGCCGACTCCGTCGGAGTGTTGGCAGTCCATGTCTTTGGACTTCGTGTTCGGTCTTCCCCCGGACAGCCAGGGGAACACGGGCGTTGTGGTCTTTGTTGACCGCTTCAACAAGATGGTACATCTTGCTGCGGTACCCGCTGAAGTGACTGCGAAGCAGACGGCGCGTCTGTTCGTTGACATGGTGTCCAAACGCCATGGCATGCCGATCGACATTGTGTCGGATCGAGACCCGCGCTTCACTGCACACCTTTGGCAAGAAGTGTTTACACTTCTTGGGAGTCAACTTTCGATGTCGACTGCGGACCATCCGCAGACGGACGGTCAGACCGAGCGCGTGAACCGCGTGCTCGTAGACGTGCTTAAGAGCTGCGCTCACTCGTTCCAACACTGGAGCGAGTGCCTGCCGATGGCGGAGTTCGCCATCAACAACTCGGTGCCTGCCTCGACCGGGCATACACCGTTCTACGTGAATGCCATCAGGCACCCACGCCTTCCGAGTCTTCTTGGGATGGTGGCTCCTTCCTTAAGTGGGGGAGGATCTACGACTGCACCGCTGCAGCCGCAGAATGCCGCTGACACTTGCACAGTGTCAGCCGCGACTACACACAAGAAGAAGAAGAAGCACGCGTCTGTGCAGGGCACAGACGCCGGCAAGTGCAAGAAGAAGAAGAAGAACGTGTCTGTGCAGAGCACAGACACCACGAAGACGAACGCAGAGGCCGGGCCTACTGCTGGAAACGAGCTGAACGAGTTCAGCTCGGACGCAATCAAATTCGTGCAGCGCAGACAAGCCGTCATTCGGTTTGTCCAAGACGCTATTGCAGCTTCTGTCGACCGACAGAAGCTGAACGCAGACAATGTTGGTAGGGGCAATACTAATGAATTCAAGAAGGGTTCATTGGTTTTGTTAGCAACTCAAAACCTGCCTAAACATGCAGTTTCCGACTTCGGGGCGAGCAAGCTCGCTCCGCGCTTCATCGGGCCGTTCACGGTGTTGGCACGGCACGGCAACGTCTACACGCTAGATATTCCATCTAGCATGCGCCTCCATCCGACCTTTTACGTCGGGCGGCTAAAGCCATACCGGCAGCACGAGCCACCTAGCTCGGTTGGCCCGAAGCGGAAGCCCCAGCGGAAGCGAACCTCTGCTCCCGCGCGTGAACGCGTTGGGACAAGCGCACGACGCGACCTCCCACGTCGATAGAGATGTCCGACGCGGTCTGCGAGGCCTGATCAACTTGATCTCTCAGGGTCGCCATCTCCTGCTTCAGAGCGGCGAACTCACGGCTCTGAAGCTGCTCCACAGCAGCGACTCGCTCCTCGAGCGTCGGGCCAAGGTCAACCCCAGGTTGACCATACCCGGGGCGTGTTCCCACCACCGCCGCCTCCGATCCGCGACGCCCGCAGCTCAACACGCTGGATTGTTGAGCGTATTGTGAACCATAGTATCCCGAAAACGAACCGGCACCAGGTTCGTTATCGTATTCGTTGGAGAGGGTTCCGCCTCACCAAGATACATGGGAGCCACGGGACGTCCTACTGCAGGACGTTCCAGAAATGGTGAGGGCGTACGAAGATCACCACGCACTGCCGACGCGAAGGTAGTGCGAGCGCTGTGGTCACCTACAGCGCCCGAAGTCCCACGATCGTCGCGTTCCTCACGTGCCAAGAACTTGGCACGGAGATCCTTGAGACTCGCAGGTACACGAATCGTCGTGTACCCGTTTAGGTCGCGGTCGCTCAAGCGCACCGCACCCGGAATACACAACGTGCACTTACATTTAGGGGAAGTCAAAACATAAATCACAAATAACAGTTCTCATTTTAACCCCAAAACATTATTTGGATCGTTTATTTAGATTAATCCATACTCGGAGGCCCGAGTATAATTAACTCTAGTTTAAACTACGCTACGCTTCCTCACACACGTGCGCGCACGTGTAAGCTAAAGTAGTGAGCCAAGGTAGGCCCATTACACACGGGGCCCGGCAACTCCTTCAACTTCCAGTCGTCGATTGACTCGAGTAACACCGGCACTTCCCAGACGGAAGGCTCGTCGGGTGATATATCCCAGACAGACTCGACCTCGACCTCGACCTCGACTGGCGAACACGCTCCCCTTGGTAAGGTCACGTCGGGCAGTGGCAAGTGCGTCAAGGGTGACCCCACCACGTACGTGACGCGAAAAGATATCGACTGGGTCTGGGAGAACACCAGGTGGGCGAGTTCAAGAACCTCATCTTCGACCAGCTCGTGACCAACAAGGGCAAGCTCACAGGGCTGTGGAAAACATGATTGCGATTGCAAGATTGTCAAGATTGTCAATCACAATAATTGATTGTGGAGGGATCCCAATCGGCAATCACAATCGAAAGATTGCCGCAGAGCCAATTACAGCGGCATCCATTGCATTCCGCCAACCATAGAGCTAGAACCGAGCCTGGAGGAGAAAAAGCAGCTACCAGATTCGCTTTCGCGCCATTTCGTTAAAGCTGTAAGATCACTACCAAACCGCTCTTTGCTTCTCTCATCATTCTTCAATTTGCACCAAGCACAAGAACCCAAAGCAACCCCCCCACACCTCCAGTATGAAGAACGCTGAAGTCGTCAAGCTGCTCTTCAAGACCCCCGCCCGAACTGAGCGTACATGCTCCGTCTGCGATGTCGTAGTGAAGCAGCTGTAGAGTGCCGGCTACAAGAACCTGATGACGCACCTACGCAGCCACCACGTTCGAGGCTGTAGCGGAGGAGTGTGCTAAGAAAGGTTGTACTCCGATCCGCAGCTTGTTCGTACAAAAGGATGCTGCTGATACCTACGGATGGACGAAGCTGGTCGCCCTCAAGAACATCCCTCTCGCCCACGTTGATGACGATATCATTCGCTCTGCCATCCGCTACAAGGCGATGGATCGTGCAACCCCTCTGAAGCGAATGACGTCTCAAGTTGGAGTAGCAACTTCCTCGGCAACGAACAAGTCCAAGAGGAAAAGGGCTGCGGAAGCACTAGACGAAAAGATCAACAAGAAGGCCCGCAAGATGAGCATTCGTCAGTCCAAGTACTTGGCCGTGAGCTGGATTCCGGCAACGTCTGTTGTCGTTGAACGGTTCTTCTCCACCGTTAAGAGCACCATCGGGTACCTGCGGAAGAGCATGAGCTCCGAGACTCTCGAAGTCATCATGTTCTTGAAGCTGAACTGGGATCTTGTGACGCTGGCCGATGTGTCAGCAGCAATTGTGCAGTCAAAAGCCAACAATGAAGATGAGGTAGCGGAGCAAGAGTAGAAAGAATGCTAGATTGCAATAATTGTAGCTGAGATTGTTGAGATTGCAATCATTGATTGTTCCAGCGGACAGAGATCAATTAATAAACAATCTATATTTCCACAGCTTGCCAAGCTCACCTACCGCGTGCGTTGGGACAACGACAAGAAGCTCACCAAGGTAGTGGCGTCCAAGTTCGAGGCCATGCTGATGAAGTAGATGGACCTGTGGAACCGCTAGCTGGTAGGATACGAGTGCTGGCCGTTCAACAAGATAGACATTACCATCGTGGGCTACGCTGTGCGCGACAAGTCCATCATGGACTGGAGCGACGACACGCTTGGCACGATTTACGAGGGCATCTTGGATGACCAAGGAAGTCCCAAGTGCCCCGATGAGTGTTACAAGCATCAGGGCCAAGCTGCCAATGCCGACACTAGTGGCTGCAAGGGCAAGTCATTTGACATGTCGCTGTGGCCATCGACCAAGCCCGGAGAAGGTGCTATTGGCACGGGCGGTGACTGGGGCCAGCGCGTCGAGGTAGATGATATGCTGGCCACGATGGACCAAGAGCAAATGGGGGTGCTGCTGCACGAAATTCACGGCCTCGGCATTCCGGATATGTACGTGGACAAGCACAAACCTGCCGGCTTCCCGTCCTGCGTCATGGACAACGACATGAAGCTTATCGATGCCGATGGCTGGCGGGTCCGCAGTATTCTGGAGAACATCAAATGTCGCTACAGCTGTGGTAAGTAGTTGAAGCGTGTTGGAAAGCCAGACCAAGATAACCGTTTTGGTTCGGTGGTAGAACCTGCCTGCATGTTGGTTACGAGTACAGAATACGCTTGAATGTTGAGTAATAGATAGCTTTAGAGGAAATTGCGCAGTGTGATCAGGATGCATTATCTGGGATTTCGTACATGAAATGATTCCTACATGTGATAACTGGAGTCATTGGGCTGGGAAGGTTTAGTAGCATTCTGTTTTGCCCTTTGTGAATCGTCAAGATCCAAAGACTTTTTTACAAAATTTACTGACCTGTTGTGAAGTCTTCTGTCTATCCTCATCTGAAAAAAATATGTTTGGATTAATTTCTGGAAAATAAATAGTGCTGTTAATAATTTTGCAACCAAGCCACGCTCCCCATGTCGCATCGAATTTTCAGTCGGGCGGTTAAGAACTGGGAACGGAGTTGATAAACGCTACATGTAAATCCCCATGCAGCGAGCACTGTAACACACGGCTTCTCGAAGGTGTATTGTGCCATTATCATGTTAATTTCTGTTAGCAAGCTTTTAAACAGTTTTGGGCAGTATCAGCTCGCCACAAACATTGATTGAAAATGTGTCGAGTATGTTGAGCGCTCTTAGTGCTGGTCTATTGTCTGTTTGACTAACAGAAGAACGACACTGCAGGTGGATCCCTCAAATGGATGACAATATAAGGGCGTTGCTCGTTGCAGTCGCTAATAAATCCATCGCAGCACAAAGTTGCTCGATCGGAAACTTCAAAACCTCAGAACTTCTTTCGGTTCGTGAGATAGAGAAGAATATTGCCGCCGATTGGGCTGGCGAGCACAACACACCGTCTGGATAGTGGCAATCGATCACTTGAATAATCTGCAAATATGCACAGTAGCTGCAAGTTATGCATATCTTGCGGATTGATCCAATTGTTGCAATTGTACACTTCGCAGTCTAGTTGTGTGTCTCTGTATCGAGGCACGTGCTTGCTGTGAAGTTGTTGCTGATGGTTCGCAATTGTGGTACACACGGTGGAATACTGGGATCTGACTGGCGGAGCCCCAAGATTTGGCACTTCTGATTGGCTGAGAGAAAGGCGAGTTGAACTTGTCTTTCTGGATACCATCTGCAGCATTTACTTTTTGATCCCCAGCCTCTAATACTTGGAAGTAGGAGGTGTGCGTTGGTACGATTCATGTTTAAGCATAGGCGACTTGGATATGATAGTTAGTTTGGCCTAACTCATTCTAATACACTTTCGGATTTCCTTCCTAACCAACACTCGACTACCAAGTCTCGCCGGCATAATCTCAAGTGGTTATGAGCCCAAGCTACGCAGACACCATGAAGCTCGTGGAAGCCAACATGTGAATGCAGCTGCACGCAATGAACTGCTGACCCACATCGTCAAGCCAGAGTTCGACCAGCTGAGTGGCCGCTCCACGGTACAATGGAAGACCGACGATCTGAAGGCCCTTGGTATGATCGCTGGAGACGTGAGTCACGATTGTCGAATACAAAAAATGAGGTTGACTTCGAAAAGATCCACCACGTTTTTTTCTACAATGCGCTGAAGCCTCGGACTCTTGAAAGTGATGGTGGTTTGCACTGGGTTATAACCTACCCTCGCCGACCACTTGCACTTCTTGGTTGCTTCTTAGTATCGACATTAAAGTCGAGAAACCATGAGTAGCACAAAAAACACTAGGAAAACAAATGTGATGAAAACGATAAGGCTTCGTGCCACGCACCGACAACATCTCTTTAACTGGAACGAGCACATCGCAGAATCTACACCATTCAGATAGATGATCGTCGTGAATATACCTACCGGCAGCAGAGAGACCGGTTTCAGAGAAACTACTTTGACAGTCAGGTCGCAGATCTTCACTGCTGCAATCTGTTGGATAAATAGTGAGTCACTTCATTTATAGAAATACTACAGCACGTACCAATGGCTTTGAGGCGAGGCGGGTGAACGCCTTTATCGTCCAGGGTGTATAGCGTACGTCCGGTAGGCTTAGATCCGGGAGGGTTTAGCTTACGGAAACCCGAAACTTACAATGAATATAAGCTCCGGTTGACGTGCGACCTTGCGCAATCCCTATAGGTGTCGTTTATCTTCGGTGGACCGAGTTTCAACCTTGGGAATCGCAATTGATCAGAATAAAGATAACTTCCGGGCGCTACTCGTTCCGGGAGTCCTGAATGGGAGTGAGATCACGAGCAAAGACCTTCTCCAAAATAACCAATATCAATACAGAGTCTGTACACACAATATGCAGCCTGTCAATTTAGGTTGCACCCCGAATACAGGTAAATTCGGGATGCCCCACACGCACCACTCCTGAATGTCAGGAGAATAATACAGGTACCTTCCTACCACACGCAATCTCCAATCGGGCCCTAGGGGGCGATTGCCACAACCTCCTAAAATACAGGGATTATGAAATGCAAGCGCACACTGAGAGTGTACGCCGCAACTGGGAAATGCACCAGGTGTACCAACCCGAATGGGCAATACTTTTGGGTACCTGACTTGGCTTGATGATGTAGTGAGAAGTTTTCGAGGGCCTTGGACCAGGCGTTACTCAACGCTCGCAGCGGGGTTCCGAATGGTACACCCTCTCGTGGGCTCCTAGGCGGTACACTCTCCCGTGGGCGGCGGCTGTCCTTAGACGAATCACGCACCAGGCACTTGTGCACTTGAACGCAAAATAAACTCTGTTGATCTTTATCCTCTTCTCTCTCTCTTTGGCTATCTCTCTTCTATTTTGTATCTCTCTCTCTTCTTCGTTGTATACTTCTCTTCGTCTTCGTATGGTCTTGTTACCTTGAGGGCCGCTGGATTCTTCACGCGGTCTCCACTGCTCATATCTTCATACACTTGTTCGGGTTCTCTTGGCTCCAGTATATCCGGGCGTCGCGTCGCGGCGCACACTCATCACTTGATGTCGGAGGGACTCGGGTGCCTGACCTGGGGATCTGCTGCACTGCTGACACATCGAACTCAGACTGGCTCACTCTCCATAGTGAAACCAAGTCACGCTCGGAACTGGACCTTGGTTGCTGACTTCGCTGACTTGGCACGTTCCTGGGCGCTGGTCCATTGGCAGATATCTGCGATGTCTTGGGGCTTCTCCATTCAGGGCAGTCATGGTCCATTCAGGATGGTCGGCACTTGGGCACTCCGGGCGTTGTCCATTCAGGATGGTCATCCACCATTCGGGGTAGTTGCATTCCATTCGAGCTGTCGGTTATCCATCCAGGCTGCCGTCGGCTCCACGAGCTTCAGTGTCCACTTGGTCTCGCTGCTTGAGGTCCTCAACTCGTTGCCGGGTCACACTCGGGGTCTTCGTAGTCGCAGTATCCTAGATGTTCATCTTCACCATGGTGGTGGTACAATTCAGGGTATCGATGGCTTGGTGTGCTCGAGTAGCTTCACGCTCGGGCTGCTGGGGATTCGAAGTACCTTGGGGATGCCTTGGCCTCGCCAAGAAGGGTAGCTCTCCGGGATACGTTCACTGGGATACTTCACGGTCTCCCTTCGTCAGACTAGGTAGGGGCCGGACTGGGTGCTGCGTACCTCCGGCCAGTTGAGGTCAAACGCGACCAGGCATCCACACTCCACATCTCATCCATCATGCTCGGGCGTTCCACAGGTACGTCATCCTGAATCGACTCTTCTTTTCCCACACTGTCGCTCTCCCTGGATCGGCGCCCGGGCCAGCTGCGCGGGCACTCTCCAAAATTTCAAGTCGCCTCGTGTTAACCGCCCCTCTGGCTACGGACTGACACTGAGGAAAACACCATCGAAGTGTCAGACCATGGGCAGACATCCACGAGCGCGCAGCCATCCCGGGCGGTCAGTCATCCCGAATCAAACGGTCGGCGTTCGTCTTCCCAAATTGGCGAGCGTGCTAAGTACCATCTCCATTCCAACTGTCGGATCCAAACCCATTCTCCGAGAACAGCAACCGCGCTCAAAACGCAAAATCCTCTCGCTCCGGCGACTGATGAGCGACGCAGACTGCAACGCGTGCCAGGCGTCTGATGGCGGCGGCCCTGCACGTGCCGCCGAGCAACTCCCGGACGCGCCTCCCACTGGAGGGGGTGCTTCGGGCTCGGCTGGTGAGCAGGGCGACCGCGGCGCAACTTCTGGCCATGCGGACACGCCGACCGCGCTCCAGGCTTCGCTTGATGAGCAGCAGGATAACGCCAACGCCCTTGACGACGCGTCAAGCAAGTCGAAGACGGTGGTGGTCAAAACCGCGGGCACTGGCACACATCCGCGCGCCAGCGGCAACACGGACGCGGCCGGCAGCAAGGGCAACGACGACACTGGTGCAGCCGGTAGCAAGGGCGACGGCAATACCGAGAGCAAGGCGAAGGACACAGCCGGCCCGGTGGCCACGCGGCTGGCAAGACGGGGGCCTTCGGGGGCACGTCGTGCGTGAGTCGCAGCGCTAGCGCCGATCGCCTCCATGCCGCTGTCATGGGATTTTTCGGGTACGCACCTCAGGTGCCTCTGCACGTGAATGTCCGAACGAAAATGAAACCACTCTCGTCCTCGGCTGCCAAATGCGAATTTCAGGGCAGGCTGAGTCTTCAGGATTCGCGCTCGCGTGCGGCGCAATCCTCCCATCCGGAATTTGCGGGTCAAGCACCTCCGGCGCGCTTCGCGGTCAGTTCGGACCTCAACCTCACCTTCGTCGGTGTTCCGGCTCGGGTCTTCGACAGCTACGAGGAGTGCTTCCTGCGCGACGGCTTTGGGGGCATCGAGGCGCTCTGGACCATGGAAAGTCTCACAGAGAAATAGATCTAAGAGCTGATTGACTTGCTGGACCCGGGCATGGAGCTCCACCGCACTGTGCTACGCCTGCGGCCTTCCGACACGGGGCGCTCCATCTCTGAGCTCCACGGACTCCTGGATAGTATTGCGGCCAAGCGCGAACTCGCGTCGCTCCTGCAGTGTTACGACCTCGACGGCGTCGCGCGTAAGGTGTTTGGGACAACGTCGCTGGTGAAAGCCGTGCTACGTCAACTTCGGGAGGCCCGACGCCAGCTTCGCTCGAATGGGCTAACCGCCAGCCTGGATTACCTGGCTAAGGACAGCGAGCTGCAGATGGCCAAGCGCGATATCACCGTCCTGAACCGCTGCTGGGAGGAGACCCTGGAGGTCGCCACCAAGAAGCGCGAACAGGGGATCAAGGATCACGACCGGGACTTCAAGCGAGCTGCGCAAGAACACGAGCGCCAGGAACAGGCGCTGCAACTCCAAATCGACAAGCTCTCCCGGGAAAATGACGATCTCCGTTCCGTTGTCCGGACGCTGACTTCTCGGCTGAAGGCCGGTTCCATGAACGTGGGAAAGACGATGAACTTCCTGAATCGGCACAACACTCGGCTTGACGGCAATTGGCCTCGCCTGAAAGCGCTTCCGGAATCCGCCAACGACAACAAACTTCCTCCGGACGGCTGGGCCACTCAGATCTTGGTGAACGCGGTCGACGATTTCGGGGCACAGCCTGTGGCTTACATCTTTGTGGACGACGGTGACGACGATCAGGAAGAGAAGGACGACGATGGCCCGGGCGCGAAGGAGGTATCCAAGGACGCGCCCTTCGACTTCACCCAAGACTCGTCTGCTCCGTCCACGCCCTCGTCACTCAGGTCCCGCTCCGCCAAGACATCCCGAGCGCCGAAGGGCGCAACTGGGCGGCACTTCCAGCTCCGCCCTGAGGTGTACACCCCGAATGAGCTGGACGCGATGGACCCGCTGACTCCGTATGCACGGTCGGTGGAGGACGCACGGGCTTCGCTGGTGGCGCATGCCGTGATCTGGGACAAGCTTCGCCTGGATGTGCAGTTGGTGATGCAGTCTGGACTCGATTACCTGGACGCGTTCGACCTGGTCTGCGGGGACAATTACGTGCATCCTCGGTTCCACGTCCGGGACCTGCTCGAGCTCCTCGTTCGGATCATGTATCGGCGCAAGTTGGACCAGACGCCTTGGACGAGCTACGTCCCGAGCTGATAGTACAAGAAGGCCGATGCCAGACTGGAGCAGCTCACGTACACACCGGACAAGTGGCCCACCCTGAAAAGCGTCCGCCTAGACGAGGAGGCGGAGGTGATGCAGGCGATGTATTCCGAGGTGGGTGACGACATTGACGACGAGACGCGGGACGAGATATTCAGGACGACTAAGCATTTCAAGGTCAAGCTCGACTTGCGTACCACACCCCCTCGAGAGGCCAAACGTCACAACAGCACATCTTCCACTACTTCAAGTACCACCGGGTCCCAGCACCCTGACTCCGAAGTCGCCCCTCCTCCGGCCAAGCGTCCGCACGCAGCCCAACGGCGCACGCAGTCCACCCTCGCCCGAAAGGAGTATGCTGAGCTCACCCCAGAAGAGCTCCAAATCATCGAGGTCCCGGATCGCGGGGTCACTTCTTGGCGTCATTATAGGATACTGGTGAAGTTCCAGCCCGATACTGCCAAGGCGGTCGAGCAAACCAGTGGATTCCCGGATTACACCCCGAATCTGTCCAAGCCTGAGGAGCGCGACGCCGTTCGGGCACGCTGGCTTTCGGGGCCGTTCAAGGAGCTGTGGAGCGCCAAGCCCTGGGACGAGATGTTCGACAACCGATCCAAGTTCCCGGTCTGCCATGCGCCCCCAAAGGCTGGAACGAAGGCTCTGGCGCGCCTGGATGAGGTCGTCACATTTATGAGCGACCACCGCTGCACATTCTGGCTGATTAGTCACTGGTTCTCGATCTACAACCGGTTGGACGCCTATTCGGAGGAGTTCGCTGACACCCGGAAACCCAAATGTGATAGCATCCGGGCTCACTACCAGAAATTGCTGGATGCCGCGGTCGACGATGGTCTGGAGCCGTCGTACCTCGAGGAGCCCGGGGTCTGGACGTTCTTAGCCAAGTGCTGTTCCTGGATCTGGATGGCGCCCTCGCAGAAGAATGCCGAAGGCAAGCCGTACTCTCTGCAGGAGCAACTCGCGCTGACGGACCAGCAGGAGCCCGCTCAGGTGCAGTGGAACTCCTGCTCCTCGGACGAGGAGCGCATCGGCCACGCGCCGGCCCAGCTGGGCCTCCGACTCCTGCCAGAGGCGGACCGCTGTCCCTACCTGGTTTCCAAGAAGTTCCTGTAGCGCGCCCAGGATCTGTTTTCCGCGTCGAGCTCGGAACTCAGCCCCAATTCTGCATGCCATAGCGTAACACCCACTAATCCAAGACTCGATGTCATTTATGTCTTCCTTGCTCTCATCATCTCAACGACTCATCTTTGCGCATTCACCGTCACACTTAGGTTCATCATAGCGTCCGCACCCTGAAAGTGCGTTGTCTCAATTCGATACTCTCCAAATTTCCATTCGTAATCAAAACAGGTTCAGTCGTCTCACAACTTACGGGTACGGTCAGTTGAGCTTTATCCATTCAGGATGGATATTGCCTGGGGTGATCCTCTCCAGCCTGCATAGCCTGGAAACGTGCCTTAGCCTTCGCCCCTTGGTTGAACTTGTACAGTAGCGCCCCACAGCTGAGTCGGGACAGCGGGATCCATTCGGGGTCTGCATACCCCTTCCACTTGATCAGGTATTCTCGAGTGCGCTTGGATATCCGCGTCCTCTTGATCCATCTCAAATCCAGGATCGGCTCGACCTCGTACTCAGCATTGGCATGATCGGGTTCCCAACTGTCCTCGGGCAATAGTGCGGCGTCGAAATCATCCTCATCCTCGAGGTCCAGCTCAGTCGTGGGCCGTTTCGGGAAGACCGCCCTCGGTTTGAGACGACTCACATGGACCCATGGGTTAACCCGGTAGCCGGTGTCCTCGATCTTGAGGCGCACCCGAAAATCATCCCGATTTTCATCAATGCGGAACGGGCCATGCCACAGGTGTGCCAACTTTCGACTCAATCCAGGCTGGACCTTCGGGATGTAGAGCCATACGGCGTCTCCCTTCTCGAATCCAGACTTGAGTCGCTCCGTTAGTTCGTTCCACTTCCGGGTCTGCTCCTCTGACTGGGCGCGCTTCGCCTTCTTCTGGAGATCCTCGGCACATGCTCGGGCGTAACTGTAGTCTCGCTGGAACTTGCGTCTCCACTCGTAAGCCGTCAGTTCAGGAAGGCTGGAGTGTCTGGGTCCCAACATTGCAGTTACCGTGCCCTGGGCATCCTAACCGTGCACCAGATAAAACGGGATGTCAAGTCGGGTTGCGTCGAATGAGGTATTCAGGGCGAACATCAGCCTCTCAGCATGGTCGTCCCAATCTGACTGGTCTGCCTCAGCGACCTACGCCTTGACACTCCGAATCACCGTTTGGACCGACCGCTCTTGTTGGCCGTTCGCCTGAGGTCGATAGGTCAGAGTGGCTCGTTGCTTGCTGCCCAGGATCTCCCGGAACCTGGTGAAAACTTCGCTCATGAACCTCGGATCTTGATCGTACCGAATCATGGAGGACGCCCCGAAACTCCTGAAGACACGTTCCTCGTAGGCTTCGGCAACGTCCTGGGCGGTGGTTGAGGACATCGGTTGACATATTACATACCCAGAGAAAGCATCCTGGAATAGTAGCAGAAACGTGTTTCCTCGCGCTGACTTGAGCATGTGCGTCACGAAATCCATGGAGACCACCTCGAATGGGCGTCTAGGCTCAATGTTGCCTGGCGACGGTCCTGGATTGGGAGGTCTCCCTTTGCCACTGGCGTAGTCGATACACTCTTTCACGAAACGCTCCACGTCTGCATGCATGCCTGGCCAGTAGAACTCCGAACGTAGACGCTCATGCGTCCGCGTAATACCTTGGTGTCCACCTTGGTAGTCTTCGTGTGCATAATGAAGTAGATCTTCTTGCAGCGCTTCCGGGACGGCCAAGCGCGGCTCATCATGGGCGTCATATGGGCGATCCCGGGTGGACCGAGCAAGTCAGTAGAGTACGCCTCTAGCGTCCAGGGCGAAAAAGTCTGCCGCCTTGGCGATCTTTCGCAACCTGTGAGGGGAGAAGTCATCTGTCTCTCCATTCAGGAAGTCCCGAATCTCCATGAGGTAGTAGTCGTCCTGCTCCTGGTGTGCCTTGATGCGGCGCCACCGTTCTGCCTGGTATTCCAAGGGCCCCATGGGTGGGGGCTCGTCCTGCGTGCGTCCTGCCTGAGTCCTTGTCAGCACCGCCATTACCCGGGCTCCCTCCGTGAGCGGGGCAGATTCCGGGCCGGGGCCCGGATCCACTTCAGCAGACATTCCGGGAGTGGAGTCAGAAGGACTTCCCGAATCTGTGGGTTGTTCATCTGGGTCAGCAGTAATCGTCTTCACCAATTGCTCTCGGATCTTGGACACCACTTCCAAGTGCTGCCGCTCCTCGTCATCCTGAATCGCGCAATCTTCGCCCACGGCCAGTATCTTGGAGGTCAAGTAGTCCGCGGCCTGGTTGTATTCACGCTTGACGTGTACCAGTCCGACTGTCCTGAATTTCTCCTTGAGCACATGACATTCGGCGAGCCTCCGCTGCAGGGGAGGCTGGTTGCAGTTGATGAGTCCTTGTACCTGCTGAATGACGATCCTTGAGTCACCCACGACCACCAGGTCCGCGATGTCCCGCTGGAGCGCCATGGTCATGCCTTTCAGTAGTCCATAGTACTCCGCGTTGACTGTCACTCCATCCAGGGTGTAGCCGCGAGCCTCGATGACAGTCCATTCGGGAAGCTGCCACAGTATACACCCGCAACTTCCTTGTTTCGTGGACGTCTTAGCTGCGCCATCGAAACTCAGTGCGACTCCCGAATAGTCTGGCTCCAACATCTCCACACTCACCACAGGCGGCGCCTTCACTCGCCCCTTGGCCGGGATCAGCGATTCGGCCACTTCATCTAGATGCTCTCTGGGCGTGATACCCGCACCCAGGATGGCGGCCAATCCGTCCTCGTCCCTTTGCTATTTCCGGATGTTCAGGTCGTAATGTGATAGGGCAACGCCCCAAGGCACCGTGCGACCATCCGCGGTTTTCGACTTGATCACCCACTTCAGGACGGAGTACCTGGTATACACAACCAGCGGGCATCCTTTGACCAGGGCCTTGAACACTTGGAGTACCCGGATGACCGCGAGCACTTCCTTTTCGGCGATGTGATACCGGAGGTCGGCATCATTCCGGACACGCCCCGTGAAACGTACAGGTTGGATCACGCCATCATACTCCTGTCCGAGGACAGCACATGCCACCCACTGATTTGCATGCGGGATGATCACAAACGGCTTAGTCCGGTCCGGGTGTCTGAGCATCGGTGTGGATACAATCTTTCTTTTCAGGATGTCGATCGCCTCCTTCGCCCGAGTCAGATCTCGACCGTCCCGCACTTGATCGTCCGTTAACTCATACAGCACCACAGCGACCACTGGAAAGTCTTCAATGAACTTGTGGTAATAATTCAGGCTTCCCAGAAAAGATTGGATCCCTTTCAGGGTCTTCGGGAACGGCGAGTCCTGGATACCCTTCACAATCTTTGGAGTCGCTCGAATCCCTTCAGCTCCGATCTCATGAGACAGGTACGGAATGGTCCGCTTCCCGAATTCACTCTTGGGCAGACTGAACGAAATGTTCCAGTACCTCAGTCGGTACAACAGCGCGTTCAGGTGGTCACACAATTGGTCCCAAGTGGTGGCTCCATGTGCGATGTCGTCGATGTAGGAGCTCTGCCCCAGGACCGGGCCCATTTGGGGTGGTGCAGGTATGTTGCGCTTGAACACCGTCATCTGGTCAGTCAGGGCGGGCAGACGTCCCTCTTCCGGGGCGGCTTCGTCGTCACCGTCGTACTCAGCTTCTGGCTGCGAAGGATCCAACCTTAAGTAATCCAGCACATCTTGATCTACCATAGCTTCCTCCTCGGGCGGCAACCGAACGAATCCCCACAAACAGTTGTTGATCACATGTTGGTAGACGAGCGGAGCGTTTTTCAACCCGAATGGCATCCGTACCCACTGGAAATGCCCGAATGGGCACACAAATGCCGAGATGAGCTTGGCTCTTTCCGTCATCCGAATCGCCCCAAAACCACTCGCCATGTCCAGACTCATGAACCACATCGCCTTCTCGAAACCGATTAGCAAGTCATCAATCAGAGGCAGCGGGTAGCTGGACAGCTGAATGAAACCGTTCACGACTCTATAGTCGATGCACATCCGAATGTCGACACCGTTCTTCTTCAGGACGATCACAATCAGGGAAGCCCATGGCGATTCAGAGTGTTCGATCAGTCCCGTCTCCAAAAGTTTCTTCAAGAGTTCGTAAACCTTCACCATAAGATGTGGAGCCACGGTTCGGGGCCGTTGGACCACCGGCTTCGCGTCTCCGACGTCTAGGTCGCACACCACGCCTCGGGCAGGCGCTGGAGCTGCGTTCCCGTCACCCAGGAAGATTGTCCTGTGGTACTTCAGAATGTCCTTCAGCTTACTCTCCTGAGCAGGAGTGCTCACTCCGGGCTCATCTTGTCAATGTCGCACTCCGGGCTGATATCATGCAATTCGGGGAGCAGGGCCAGTTGGTCCCTCAGCTATGCTACCAATTCACTTCCTTCATGAACGTACACCGCGGGATCCAGGTCCAACTCCTCAGCGCTCACTCTCATGCAGCGAGCTTATTCGATCTCCAGCTGCCTGAGTGCAGTGCTGTCCATCGCGGACGTAGGCAAATCTCCCTCGCATTCTTCCTCGACTTCACCTTCAGGTCCAGAGTCCGGAGCTAATTCCGGGCTGCTCGCCGAGTATTCCTCCAGGGTGTTGCGTCCGGGATCAGGATCTTCATTCGACGCTTGATCGTCCGGCACGTCTGACTCCTCGCCCCGGGGTATCTCCTCAGCTTCTTCCTGAAACGTAACCTTTTTCATTCCGGTTGAGGGCAAGCTCTCCGTCTCGTAACTACTCTGTCGTCTTTGTCGGACCGGGTCATCAACTTCGTTGGCCACGGATATGCGCGTTTTGGGACGGCGGGGGGCTGGGCGGCCCAAAAACGCTCCACCCGGCGCTCCTCTTCATCTCGAGCCCGACGTGAGGCTGTGCTCTCATAGATTAACCGTTCCCATTCCTGATACCTGCGCACCCCAGGGCGCACGAAACACCCCCTACTCGGAAGTGTCCGTACTCCACAACCTGGGCGACCGGCGTACGGGTATCGATCCACAGATCGCGGTCCGAGATGTTAACCACGCGGATGGCCTTGACCCAGGATCTCGCTCCGTAAATTGCCTCCGTGACCCAGCGGTCTCCGCGTCCGACCCAAACCACATCTCTTTGCGGGTTACTCCTGCCATAATGAACGCGCACAGTGGCGCTTCCCCCTGGCCGAAGGTATAAGTCATGAGGGGAAACAACCGGGATGTCCATACCGTGACTCTTCCGGATCGTGTCACCGTACATGAGAATCGCCTCTTCATCAGGAAGCATAATGAGTCCTTCCCGGATGCTGAGCCTAACTCCGGCACAGTACATGAAATCCATCCCGAGCAACACGGCCACGTCTTCTCCAATGTTCGTGACCCACAAATCCACAACGTACACGATTCGAGGTCTCAGAGTGATCTTCACCTGGGCGCTGGAGGAGATGTAAGTCGGGACGCCACCCAATCCGGACACCTTTATATGCCGATGTGAGCTTAACTTGAGCTTGAGCCTACGCGCAAGTCAAACTTATCATGCTCACTGACGCTCCGGTGTCCAGCACTATCTGCGTCCTGAAATTCTCCACCGAACCGTGAACCAACGCTACTTTACGTCCTTCATCGTCGGAATCGTGTTCGGCCCACCAACCATACCTCTCACCCGGCTCCTTAGGCTCCAAGGGTGGGGGCGGTCTCGAATAGTCCACAAGGTCTTGCGTGGACGACACAACTCCATCTTCAATCAGGCATTGTTGGTTATCTCGGTTCTTGGTCCTCAATTCAGGGCCGACGTAAGCTAAGACACACAATTCTGAGGGTTCCCTATGCCCGGCGCGTACCGAATCCCCATTCAGCGGGCTTAGTGGTTTAACTGCTTCCCCTCAGAACTGGCCTCGCCATTCAGGATGCCCTAACGCACAGGGCTTGACAGGTCAGTCAGGCCTCCCTCGCGCACCAGCTTCTTGATCTCTTGGAACGCTCTCCAGTCCTCGCATCGTCCTTCGTGTAGTTCATCACATTTCGGGAAGGGCTTCGTCTCACCCATCTGAGCAATGTGTCCGCGGCGGTTGCAGCGGTCACAAATCTTGGTACTCCAACAGTTCTCCGGACGGTGACCCCAGCGTCGACATTCTTCACAGAATTATCCTCGATCCGGGTTGTCCCGGGGTGGATACGCCCGTGAAAACGATTCTTTAGGCGCCTGCGGGGCTTGCCCTCCGGGAGGTTGCATTGGGTGGCTGGGAGACCATCCTGCTCGATCCATCGCGCGATACACCTCGTGGACCAGGTCTTCCTTAGTCACTAGGGCCCCGGTGCTTGCACTCGGGGCGCCCACGTCATGAACTTCCTGGATGGCGTGAGTTTCGGCCGCGGGACTGCGGCGCTCCACTGCTTCCTCTGTCCCATCCGGGCTGTCTGACTCCGAGTCAGACTCTGCAGTCACCACGAATGCTCGATCCCGGTGCTTGGGCCGGAAACGGTCCCGGGGAACGTTGTCCGCGCGGAAGTCGCGAGTCTGCGTCGTCCGAGCGGGAGGGCCATCGCCGTGGTGCAGCTCCTCTCGACGCTTCAGGATGTACTCCAAATCTGCCACCTACTTGAACCGGTGGCTTTCCACGGCTGCCTTGGTCCGCTCGTCGTGGAGGTTCAGGATGAACTGGCGGATATGCATCTCACGCTGCTTGCTCGACTTCCGGAAATCCACCTTCGCGTGTTCCGCCGCGATGTTCAGGCGGTACAGGAACGCCTGTGCCTTCTCCCCCTTGCGCTGTGTCATCGTGTAGTAGCGCTCGTTTTCCGACACCTTGACTCTCGACGGATGGACTTGGACAACCTGGTCCAGTCCTGGCGGTCGTGCCGAGAGAGCTGACCTCTACAATTTCGGACCCCCGGCGACATCTTCAGCTTGAGCTCGCAGACTCGCGTCCTGTCGGACCATCCGCCCTGCGTCGCGAGGTTCTGGAACTTCTCCCACATAAGGCGCCGGACGGCCAATGGAGTGTCCTCGTTGAAGTCTTCCAGAGCGCTGGAGCTCATATACGGCCTGAACGACATGATCATCGTCCCGCCTTGGGTCGTCACCGTCGTCACGTTGGTGAGCACCTCACCGGACGAGCTGTCGGAGTCTTCATCGCTTGAGTCTTCCTCGCTCGAGCCCGAGCTTGAGCTGTCGTCCGAGGGGTCCCCACGTTTACTCGATCGCTTCTTGAGTGAGTCCTTCCGGGTGGCCGTTTTCTTGGGCTCCGGACGAGAAGAGGCAGCCGGCTTGGATCCCGACTTCTCGGTCGTCGCTTAGGTTGCTTTCGATGGAACAACCCTGGGCGTCGACTCTTCCTGCTCATAATTAACACCAGTCATCGGCGCCAGCGTTGCTTGAAGCTGGGCGGCTGGAAGGTTACCATCTGGTTTGGCCCGTCTATCACTTGCGTGTCCAGTGATGACGCCACTGGGTTCTTGGTGCATCGTCAGGCGCCCTGTCTCTTGCTTGACCTGAACAGTCGGATCAGGTACAGGTGTCGCTTGAGCCCCTTGGACCTGGGATGATGTCGTCCGAGTGTCGCGCGAACGCGTTCTCCGAACCATCCCCTGGTCAGGGCCAGCCACCTTGTCCCGCGACTGGGCTGTCTCTAGCAAAGCGATCTTTCGGTCGAAGAGCTTCTGCTGCTCTTCCAGCAATCTTCGCCGCTCTTCCAGGGTCTTCTGCATCATTGCCTCCTGAACTTGCAGCTTCGTGGCCTCCTGGACTCGTCGGACGGCTTCAGCTTCGGACCGGAGGTGTTCTTCCTGCGCGCGTTCCGCCTTCACGGCTTCTCGCGCACGCTTCAAGGCGTCTTCCTGGATAGCCCCCACGATTTCACGGGCGTTCTCCGTCGTCGCTTCACTCGTGATCACCTGAACCGGGGCCTGTGTGTCGAGAGCACATTGGTTTTCCAGGGCGTCCTCCCGGCCGACCAGCAGTTGAGTGGCCCGGTAGGTCTGGAAGGTTCGCTCCTCCTCGTCATCGGCTTCGGTCTTCCGGTCCGGGGTGTCGTCCTTGTCCTGGAGCTGTTGGTTCATCTCCTGAACGCTCGCATCCACCCGAGCCATGGCGTCCTGCGTGACTCGCATCGTGGTCAGCGCTATCTCGGAGGTTCTCGACGCAGAAGAGTGAGCTGACCATTCAGACTTCACGGATCGGCTGGGCGACCGCTTCGACTTGGACGACCGCTTGGGACGGCGAGAGTGCTTGGATCCTCGGCGGCCACGGCGCCTTTCGTCCTCCGAGCTGGATTCGCTGGAGGAGCTGCTTGGGCTTGACCTTCGGGAGCGCGTGTGCCTCCGGGACGTCCTCGACCTGTGATCACTCCGGCGGCTCCGCCAAGCGACCACAGCGAGGACCCCGACGACGAATATGGCTCCGTCGAGCGCGACCTGGTCGAGGCGCTGGAGTTCGACTCCTCTGAATCCGCGGCCGTCGTTCCAAACAGACTTCACTCTCGTCCTGAACTTCGTCGGGAAACTGCGCTCTGGATGACAGGCATCCGAGCGCTCAGAGCGTCCGCATCTTGACTCGCCGGGATGGAAGACCGGTAGGACAAGTGTCAGCTCATGGACGGGATTGACGACGGACGTGGCGGGCCATATTGCGGACGCTTGGATTCAGGGCGGCCCACAGCCGATCTCGCCGGACTTCGGGTCGGGCGGACTCCAGTCACCCTCATCCGGAAAATACATTCTCGACCGAGCACGTCCATCTCCCGGGTCGGCATTGGCACGTCGTCGTCCGGGTGTTCCTCCTTGACCGCATCCAAGGCAGCATCCTCCAGCGCATGAACGTCCAGCGCTGGCTGGGACGCCCGCAGTGACGCTTCGCCATTCCGAAAGTTCGGCAGCGAGTAGTTGCTGGAGCTCCTGCATGAGCATCCGCACCATGATCGGCTACACTCGGGAAGCCCGCGCTTGGAACCACTGGGGAATCAGGTTGCGAAACCTGAATCCCGCCTCGAAGAATAGCGTCTGCGGCAGGGCGGCGCACTCACGCAGTGACAGCGTGTCATGGGGATCAAGGCCGCGGTGGCGTCCGCGGCAGTGCATGGAGACAGGCGGATCAAGCTCAATCCGAAATCCAGTTGTCGCTCAGGTTCATCATCGTTGAACGAGCCGCAACGTATCGGGACGTCGCCATGGCTGCAGTCCACCAAGCTTGGAAGTCGGGTGCGGACTGGGCCATGTGTACTCATCGGTCCGGGACATCACGAATTCGAGCATCACCCTTTCCCAACGGCGGACCTGGTCGGCCACAAACTCCCTCATCCGGGCGGCGGACTCCCGCTCTCCGGAATCTTCATCGGGACCAGTCAGGTCAATGAGCATTCGGGGAACCTCCGGGGTAGCCACCCTGGGCGGCACAACTGGAGCGGCGTTCGGAACGGGCGAGCTGGGCAACGGAGTCTCATTCGGCAAGCTTGACGCCGGCCCTTCTTGGACGGCTGGTAACGGTCCTTCTGCCTTGATCGTGCGCGCCTGCGAGGGGGACTCATCCGAGTCGTCGTCCAGCACGATCACATCTTGGGCCGGCCGGGACGTTCCCGAAGGTTCAACCACAGCCGACGACTCAACCTTGACAGCGCCTCCCACAGACGCTTGGGCGGGCGCATTCGGGATGGACACGCCCACAACCTCCACCTCCGAGTCCAGGGTGGAGTTCACTTCCGAGCCACTCGGGGGCCCCTTCTCTTCGTCATCCGGGGTGGCAGCATCCAGGGACACGTGGTGCGCATCCTGGGCCGCCGGCTCCGCATCCGGCTGTCCTTGGGCCTCCGTCGACTCCTTCGCATCGCGAGCTGCCTTACGCCTCGAGGCGTCCGTCCGGCGAGCATTCCGCTCAAGCGAGAGCTGCTCCTCCGGCGGCATCCCTTGAGTCCGACGCGAGCGTCGCACGCCATCCGCGCGTCCGCCGCGTCCCCTTTCGCGTATGCTTTCACTTCCAGCCATAACCCCAGGAGTTAGTAGATTAGTAGCTCTCAGGACACCTTAAAATATCCTCAATCAATACACAATTCTCGGTGAAAACCTTAGGCAACCAAATCCGGGCACGCCACCAGCTGAGGCGATGCGGGTGAACGCCTTTATCGTCCAGGGTGTATAGCGTACGTCCGGTAGGCTTAGATCCGGGAGGGTTTAGCTTACGGAAACCCGAAACTTACAATGAATATAAGCTCCGGTTGACGTGCGACCTTGCGCAATCCCTATAGGTGTCGTTTATCTTCGGTGGACCGAGTTTCAACCTTGGGAATCGCAATTGATCAGAATAAAGATAACTTCCGGGCGCTACTCGTTCCGGGAGTCCTGAATGGGAGTGAGATCACGAGCAAAGACCTTCTCCAAAATAACCAATATCAATACAGAGTCTGTACACACAATATGCAGCCTGTCAATTTAGGTTGCACCCCGAATACAGGTAAATTCGGGATGCCCCACACGCACCACTCCTGAATGTCAGGAGAATAATACAGGTACCTTCCTACCACACGCAATCTCCAATCGGGCCCTAGGGGGCGATTGCCACAACCTCCTAAAATACAGGGATTATGAAATGCAAGCGCACACTGAGAGTGTACGCCGCAACTGGGAAATGCACCAGGTGTACCAACCCGAATGGGCAATACTTTTGGGTACCTGACTTGGCTTGATGATGTAGTGAGAAGTTTTCGAGGGCCTTGGACCAGGCGTTACTCAACGCTCGCAGCGGGGTTCCGAATGGTACACCCTCTCGTGGGCTCCTAGGCGGTACACTCTCCCGTGGGCGGCGGCTGTCCTTAGATGAATCACGCACCAGGCACTTGTGCACTTGAACGCAAAATAAACTCTGTTGATCTTTATCCTCTTCTCTCTCTCTTTGGCTATCTCTCTTCTATTTTGTATCTCTCTCTCTTCTTCGTTGTATACTTCTCTTCGTCTTCGTATGGTCTTGTTACCTTGAGGGCCGCTGGATTCTTCACGCGGTCTCCACTGCTCATATCTTCATACACTTGTTCGGGTTCTCTTGGCTCCAGTATATCCGGGCGTCGCGTCGCGGCGCACACTCATCACTTGATGTCGGAGGGACTCGGGTGCCTGACCTGGGGATCTGCTGCACTGCTGACACATCGAACTCAGACTGGCTCACTCTCCATAGTGAAACCAAGTCACGCTCGGAACTGGACCTTGGTTGCTGACTTCGCTGACTTGGCACGTTCCTGGGCGCTGGTCCATTGGCAGATATCTGCGATGTCTTGGGGCTTCTCCATTCAGGGCAGTCATGGTCCATTCAGGATGGTCGGCACTTGGGCACTCCGGGCGTTGTCCATTCAGGATGGTCATCCACCATTCGGGGTAGTTGCATTCCATTCGAGCTGTCGGTTATCCATCCAGGCTGCCGTCGGCTCCACGAGCTTCAGTGTCCACTTGGTCTCGCTGCTTGAGGTCCTCAACTCGTTGCCGGGTCACACTCGGGGTCTTCGTAGTCGCAGTATCCTAGATGTTCATCTTCACCATGGTGGTGGTACAATTCAGGGTATCGATGGCTTGGTGTGCTCGAGTAGCTTCACGCTCGGGCTGCTGGGGATTCGAAGTACCTTGGGGATGCCTTGGCCTCGCCAAGAAGGGTAGCTCTCCGGGATACGTTCACTGGGATACTTCACGGTCTCCCTTCGTCAGACTAGGTAGGGGCCGGACTGGGTGCTGCGCACCTCCGGCCAGTTGAGGTCAAACGCGACCAGGCATCCATACTCCACATCTCCTCCATCATGCTCGGGCGTTCCACAGGTACGCCATCCTGAATCGACCCTTATTTTCCCACACTGTCGCTCTCCCTGGATCGGCGCCGGGGCCAACTCTCCAAAATTTCAAGTCGCCTCGTGTCAGCTTTCACCTCGGAGTCCCACTGGTGGGCAGCAAATTTGGCAGCAAATGACGTAGTTCCACTGGGTTCACGACGGTCGCTCGGATGCGCTCTATCACACGATCCAAGAGGCCGACAGAGCATCGCCCCTGCTTTCATCTATGCTCGCGGGCTATTGTAGCAATTCGACCGAGAGTGATAAAGACGATCCCGAAAATGGAAATTTTCCGCGGCCGATGGTCACGTTTGCAGTGATCCTGAGTAAATTAGGCCAAACTGTTCGAACCAAGCAAACACTTACCAAGGCTACGAGGCTGCGTCGAAGCTGTACGTCCGGTGACTTCATTTCGTTGCTTGGCGGATGAAACTCTCGGGTGGTCGGTCAATGGGTACATGCGCGCTGAAACAAGGTGATGAACATTTACGAGCGCTGGGCCAGTGTGAGGTCGAGACTCGCGGCTTATGATGCGCTGGATCTCGATTCTGCCGTCTGCATCGCGACGTCCACTAGAGAGAGAGAGAGAGAGGCTACTTAAGAGCGCTCTGTGCCTTGGACATTTACATCAGAGTGCTCCCAGAAGTCCCAGAATACGCGTTGCCAGCTTCACCTTGTGTTGCGTGTGGGTAGACTTTCGTCTTCGCCGAGCAAAAGAAGATTGATATCCAGGTTCAACGCATTGTATTAGCATGGCGTTTCTAGGTTGTGAAGCCAACCGCGACTACATCCGCAACTACGCCATCCTTTAGTCAAGTTGCGGGCTTCTGCTGTCAGGTCGCTTAAGCCGACGCTGCAGCACAAGGCTTTGCCTGCGGTTGATGGTGTTGAAGACGCGCCAACGATGGTACCAAAACTATGCTCGACAAAGCTACGATTTATCTTCTTCGAGGGTACTGGTGGCCTTGCCACCGCAAAACTCGTATTAATATTCTGCAATTATTAAGATCGGTGCTGTCTGCGGCTGGTACTCCTTGGGATGACGCGGCTCCACAGCGGGGTTTGCTGCCTTCTTCCTGGGCTTACCACGCGCTAGGTCGACGATCTCGGAGCGCCTTTGAAGGCTTTATGGAGATGTAAAACTATGGATCACTGCGGCAGCTACACTCACTCGTTGCAACTCTGGCTGGCTGGGGCTCTTGTCTCCTCGATCGGCTCGAGTAACGCGCACGTGAGGGGGGGGGTAGAGGTCGCGTGGTCAGCGTCTAGCCATAACTTCAGCTGCGTTTACATGAGCGCTTGCATGAAGCGGCTTTCCATTGTGTGCTCTTGTTATTGAGACGCCAAAGATTGTTAAATTATAATAATCATATCAACGTGCAACCAATGGACAGATCCTGCGTGTACCATGTTAGTGTTCTAACTTCTTATACCAATCTGCGGTCCCAAGATTGAAGGTTTCGAGAGATCCGCTTGTGGAGTAGCAGCTAAAAAGTGCCATACTGTTACCCATTAGAGAGTTCACCCGTCACCGAAATTGAACTCGGGTCACATGGATACCAAGCGGCGTTGCGCGAGCGTGATCCGGCTGTTTGTTTGTCTTGCGTAACTACATGTAGTGCGTTGGCTGTCGATATAAGTTTCGTGTGGCTACACAAGTTTTGTCCGTTGCGACCCCCCCAGGCGGCGTGGGTCAAACCTTGGGACCATGCGACCTTGATGGCAAACGTGTACGCGTACTCCGGCGCAGGGCTACGTCGTGTGGCATAGTGGAGTTCTCGGCATGGTCGATACGAGCTACTTGTTCAACTCGAACGAGGACGCGGTTTCCAGCGGCAACAAGAGCAAAGTCATCAACCACGACGGAGAGACACCGAACACAGCAGCTGCTGTGTGTAGTGTGCACCACATCAGGATATGACTGTGATCGGCGTGGAGCTGGTTTTCGACTAAGGCTACACAAAACCGTCGGCTCCGACTGGCGTTAGAGCCGCGCAGCAAGGAAGGACACCTGCTAAGCTATGGTCATGCCGGTCTTCACTCGTACCCGAGATGTCACATTATCTTAAGATACGGATCGTACGTGTGTCGTACACGGTAGAAAACCATACTTATGTCATACAGCCACTGGGTGCCTGCCAAAAGGGTCAAAAGGACATAACATAATTACCGCAGATATGGGGGTGGATATGTCGGCATATAGTCTAGTTGCTTCCGCCACAACGTGTTTATCGACAACAATTCCGTCCGATTACAAACGACCAAGTACCACCTCTGCGCAGTGCCTGGACGTGCCAAGCAACTCGGCTTGGATGGTGCTGTACACCTATGATGATGATAGCAACTTCCTCAATGCAACAAGTCTGACGAGGTGGGTTACGCTTCGAGAGCGTGTAGAGCTACAAATATGTAACGTGTCTGGGCGCATGGCTTCTTATCACCAGCTACTACATAGGCTCGCACGGTTCTTCTACCTGCCGCCTGTGACGCCGTCCGACCAAGCTGCGGTCCCATCACCAGGCGCTAAGCCTCATCCTTTGCTTTTATGTCGGATCGATGGAGCAAGGAGCGCTCTGCATGATTTTCGGAGTGCCGCCCACGACTCTCTCGCGGTATCTGCGCAGTGCGGATGAAGCACAGGCAATGGCCTTGACAAACTTTGCGCCAGCACGCATTTCGTGGCCGTCTCCAAAACAGCAAGCTGAACTGGCAAGACTCGTGGAAGCACGCGAGCCGCTGCTTACGCACACGTTTGGGTTTATAGACGGCAAAAGTTAAGGGTATGTGCGTTTGATGAACTTACTAGTGTAAAACTGACAATGGTGTTCTATTTTCTGTTAATGCTAACCTGATACAGGAACCATGAATTTCGTTTCCGACTCCGCGTTTCCATGCTCTGCATCCTGACACCACTAAATGATGGAGGTCTCGATCGCATTCTCCCCTCACTCAGGAGTCTGGCGCGGCTGCTGCACAATTCTATCACCTCGGCGCGTCAAGCCGCTGAATGGAGGTATGGGGAACATTCAGAAGGTGTACTATGGGCTCAACCTCCCGCTACCATATGACCCCAAGCTGCGCGGTCGGTCTAAGCCTCACGAATCTCTTCCGATTTGTGAACTATCGAGGGCGAACGGTGGGCGTTTCGCAGATCCGCACCACTTTTTCTGGTGCGATGGAGGTGCCGTAAGAGGTGCAAGAGGGTGGTTAGCATTTAGTGCGTTGGGTGTCCAGCTTCCTAGGTAGCAAGTCTCAAAGCAACCATGAACATCACCTAACCCTATATGTAAATGTTGTTTGGTGTCATCAGGAACAAATACATGAATGGATGCTGTATTGAGAGTTAACTGGAGTATCTGGGAAATACAACGCTACAGGAATGCAGGACCCCTTGTTGTCTTGTTCGTATATGGTCTTCGTTAGAGCTCTGGCTCGAGATTCCTGTGACGAGGCGCGAGTGCCTTTTGTGTCGGTAGAGCAAAAGCAAGTCTCGAGAATGTGACTCGATAGGCAGACGACCACGAGCTAGAGAGCTAGGATCGTCCACGCAGTGAGCTGCTTGAGGAATATCAGCACACTGCTGGTCAGGCGCACGCTTGTGTATCCCCTTGTGGTTGGTTCTTTTGATCGGCGATTAGTATCAACCCCTCGACTCAAGAATCCACACCAGTCAACGCCAACAAACACTTCAATCCAAATATACAGAGTTAAATACAATATACAATCACACAGATACCCCTTGTCCTCTCTTCTTTTCTCTAGGCCCAGGACTAAGGCCAAATCTCCAAGTCTTCGGGTCCAAACCCAAGACACTTGGACAGTCTTGTGGACGCGCACCACTCCTCTAAGAGGAGAATAGCAATCCAATCAAATATCGACTTATACAGCCTAATACCGATACAAATCGATCTCAGGAGCCTCACTATACGCGTACTCCCTCAATATATAACACACCAAGCCAACACGGCGTATGTGCAGAATATGGAATAGATAAGTTCACGCCCAGGCTTTCGCAATAGATCCCTTACCTAAAGAACTTTGAATTTTTGGTGGAGAACGCTCTCAGGGCTTCGGCCCAACACGACTTCGGCACTTGAGGGAAAAACGAACTCTGTTTTGGTTAAAGGCTAAATGCAAAGACGATCTTTTCAGCGACACCTGGTCGCTGGGTTGACTACTGGATCTTTCTCCAGAGTGTTGGTCCTGATTTTTTTATCGAAGCTTGAAGGGTCGCCGTCGTGGGTAAACCACAGATCTTGAGATGATATGAGATCATCGCGAGAGTCTTGGGATTCCCGTGATTCTTGAGTCTGGGTCTGGGAGAAACCTTGGTTGAAGGCCTTCTCGAGTTTTGTGGGAAGCAAGTCCGGGATAGCAGGCTCGATAGAGTGGCAATCTTGAGAATATCTTGGGCAATCCGGAAAGCGCCCCGAATACCGGTTGATAACTCGTGCCGAACGCCACCTTATTCCAGGATTCAGGGAAGGATCGCACGCATTCCCATGTGCTTCTGGGAACGGGATCAACTTGACCGCAGCAATGCCCTTTTCAGGGGTGCCGGGTACCCCCAAAACCATGCTCTTGTTTTATAGACCAGACCTCGAGACTCCGCGAATAGGTGTTCAACCTCGGGAATCCATCACCACCTTACGCGACAACACCAATCGCCACATGGGGGATCTGATCATGAAGGCAGGCTTCACATCTTCAGGGAATGCACCGCGCCACATTTGGCTCAGCTCGGCTTTGGTTGCGCGAGGCGTGCGTTCCCGACTCTGCGATCCCCGTGACAGTTCTTTCGATCACGGCTACGCTGTGGGTCCAAGCTCGCGTCGGTCACACCAGCTCCTATCGATGTTGAAGGTCCCCAAGTGTCCCCGAACGAACGTTGCTCCCCGCATGGCAAGTCCCAGTCCACACGTGTCCTCAGCCCGAAATGTCCCGGGTTTTCTTTAATAGGCACGACACAACACACAATACACCCATCTTTCTCTCTTTGGCTCCGGCTCAGAACCAGAACACCCCTTCTTTTCCGGTCGACCTGGGTCGGGGTCGAGTTCGCCTTTTATTTGTCGGAGCCTGGGCGAGGCTCGTACCAGTTTCTCCTTTCTTCTCTTTGAGTCAAGCAACGACCCGGATGGAGTTAGTGAGCCTTGCCGGAACCCAAGGCACTCAGACACCCTTGGACTACCCACGCACCAGGTAGGCAATAAACCGATACCGATACGCAATGCACCGGGGCACACCAATGTCCCCAAGCACAATACAATTACCCTATCTAAACCTCAGCATGGATCCGAACATATGAGATACACCTTAAGATGTAAAGTTAATATGAAATAACCGTACTGCCCGAGGTCCCCAAACCCTCTGACAACGTTGATATGTTAGATCGAATTTGTGTGGATGATTGCCAAGACACCTTCCGGTTAAAGACCTCCACCACTTGCACCCTTCGGGACAAAACGAACTCTGTTTAAATTGAACACATACACAACTAGGGCTGATTAAGTGGGGGCGCAATATCCTTTTGGGTACACACTGAGTGGCTACGCGAAATGCGTCGGCTGCATGCTTACGAAAGCGCGCTTGAGATCCGCTTATATATTTGCCTTGGTTAATGCAGAGGCTCCACGTCGGCGGGCGCCGCGCTGGAAGTTGCAACTCGCTGTGCACGAGCTTCAAACTGATCCACCGTATGAGCTCTCAACGGTATCACAGTCTGCATCCATATCAGCCATCTCCCAGGCCACGTGGGTAAACTCTGTTCGGGCTCCAGCTAGCTTCGCTCGGATCCATGCTTCACCGCTTGGCGTCTTGACTTAGGCGGAGCCCTCAATGGTCACACTGGAGGCTGAGCCTAGATTCCACGTCGCTTCCCCTCAGACTCTGAACTCAGCTCAGACTTGAAATGCCTAATGCAGACATACCGTGTCTCCGACATGCATTGGCCAAGCACAGGGTCTGAGCAAAGTCCACCCAGACCTCAGAATCAGCTTTGTGCCGCACGGCTCGTGTTCGGCAGTTGGTGGTCCAGATCCATCCGCGGCCATGACGCACTTGAAGCGGGCTTTGTTGACACGCAGCCGGACTTGGTGAACAAACTCGCTGAACCTTTTAACATTGTTGCTTCTTGGCCGGCGCACGGGGATGGTAGCAGACGTAGTCGCACCGCACCCACGCTCTTCACAAACTTTGGCTCTCCACTAGTATTTAAGTCTTCCGTCATCAGGCGGAGCTTACACTTGCTCCCGGGACGGATGAGCTCGATGCCGAGGTCTCGCAAGTCCAGGATAGCGGACAGATTGCGGTCCTCACGAAGTTCGTTAACCTCCTGGTCTGAATACCGTTTGCGTTGGACGAAACGCCAGAAGAGGTCCTCCACCTCTCGCTAGGTCATAGCCTGAGTAGGCTTGACCCAGGGTAGCCCCAGTCCACCCTTGTCCTCCGGCCCCATGCGTAACGTGGTGAACTCCTTCAGGGCGTACTGGTGTGGTGCTAAGTGGCTTTAATGTCACGAATAATGAATGACTCATTCTCAACAAGACTGTGCTCATTGTCACCCCTCGAGGTGAAACTGTCGATAAGACCGCGAGGAGCCGTGAGCTTCTCCAACAGCAGTGCTGCGCCAAAAGGCTAGGGTCAGGCGGGAAGAAGCCCTGCGGAAACGGGGCACCCCCGCCTTGGGAAGCTTCTAGCTTGTGTGCCCGAGCTAGCAGCACGGTATTTCTGCTGCTTCTCATCGCGGTTTGTCGAGAGCTCTTCAGGCTCGTGGACGGCTCCATCCTCGTCCTCGGACTCCGAGTTACGGAATAACTTGGAGCTGGTGCCACAACTATGCAACCTAGACGCGGCTCGGTTCTTCATACAAGACTCTTCGGCGTTCGCAGCACCGGTGGCCTCAGCAGCAACGGCCTCCGCGGCCTTGTGCCAGCGTCAGGTGCTTGCCTGGCGAATCCGTGTAGGGCTGTGTTGCTGGGCTACGTCTCTGCAGCCCTCCGTATCGGACGTGGTGGCGTCGTCCTCCGCTTGAATGTCGTCGTCGCCGCCTGGACCGGCGCTGGTCTTGCCATCCACGGCATCCTTGTCAGACGAAGCCTTCGGGTCGACCAGAAAGCTGGGCGAGTTTCTCGCCGTCAGCATCCCGTCTTTGGTAACGTTATCCCCGCCCTCAGGTGGGCTCTCAACCGAATACACGACCACCGTGCGGTTTTTTTGGCGCCCGTCCAGTCAGGATTGCACCGCTCCGACCGAGGCTGAGGGTGTTCCTCCTTGCCTGACGACACGGCAGTGAGACTAGACCGAATCCGAGCTTACCCACTCGCCTACTGATTCGAGAGCGCACCTCTCCTCGGCTGCCTCCGTGACCTCCTTCACCGTGGACGACTTGTTCTTGACCTTGTCATTCATGGCCTTTGGCTCCTTGGCCCGTGGTTCCCTCGCGCGCTGCGTTTTGGACGCCTGAGTCCGGTCGATGTCAAGGCCCTGCAGTTTGTTTGGCGATGGACCAGTTGCTTTCTGAGGCCCGGGAGACGAGGCGCCAGAGCTCGCGCTATTGTCGATGGATTTCGATTTTGCGAGTAAAATGTGATTCGCCAGCCTAACCTCGTTCTGATTGGGCAAAAAAATGAAT